GCCGTCGGGTCTCGGCCTCCGTCGGGGAAGCTTGCCAGCATCCCCCGCGTAAGCGGCCAGTGCCTGTTGGCGGCAGTACCGGCGCTCCCTGCTCAACGGCTGCTCTCTGTCCCCTGCAGATATCGCCTACCTGCGCTCGGTCCTGCCCAGCACCACGGAAGAAGCCTTCTTCGAGTACCTGTGCACCGTGGACGCCTCGGAGGTGACCGTCTCCTCCGTGCCGGAAGGCTCTGTCGTCTTCTCCAGGGTGAGTGTGAGCTGCGCTGGCCCCGAAGGCAAATCGTCCAGCAACCTCCGAGGGCCTGGGTGGCTCTTTCTTGGGACTGCGCGGGCTAACGGGTGGCACGCGGTGCCAGCACCTTCGAGGGCCAGCATGCTTTGCTTGTCGCTGGCTTGCGGCTGTCCCTTGACAAGCTCTTCCCTTCTGCGCCTCGGTTTCCCCACATGGGGACGGCGATGTTTGCTCTGTGCTTGGCCGCGGGTAAAGCGATTTGATCTCGGTGTGTGACACATGCTCTGGAGGAGGATGGTGGGTGTCCGTCAAAGGTCCCCCGTGGTGCCCCGCGAAAGTTTGCTTCAGAAGAAGCAGCTCAGCGCAGCTGCCCTCACCCAGGGCTCAGCCTCTCCTTGCCCGGCTGAGCAGCCACTGCGACTGTTTTCGGGCCTTGCTGGGGGCAGCGGGGCCTGCAAATGGGCTGGCTCGGCGGGTGCTTAGCCGTGCCGCAGGCTTCGGTCCTTGCTCTTGGGTGCTGTCGGCTCCTGCTTGCATCCAGCTTGCCTTCCCTCAGCACCGATACCCGCGTTTGGGGTGGGAGGTCTCACGGCTGCTCGCCTCGCTCTTCCCGCAGGTCCCGCTGCTGCAGGTGAAGGGCCCGCTGCTGGTGGTGCAGCTGCTGGAGACCACGTTGCTGTGCTTGGTCAGCTACGCCAGGTAGGAGCCGGTCCTGACGTTTTTGGGGTGCTGGGATCCCTCAGCTACATGGTACCAGGAACATGTCCACCCCTGCTGTAGCCAGACCCTCAAAATCCTGCTTGGCCTCTGCCAAGTCCCTTCACCTTGGCTCCGAGTCAGAGTCGAGCTGAGCTCGTCCGGGAGCCCTGCAGCACGTCCGCCTTTGCTGCGCACCACTCCCAGCCCTGGTCCCGGCCCCGATGCCCACTTGGCATGTCTTGCGCCTTCCTCTCTCCTAGCCTGCTGGCCACGAACGCTGCCCGCTTCCGGCTCCTCGCTGGCCCTACCACGCAGCTGATGGAGATGGGGCTGCGTCGTGCTCAGGGGCCAGACCGCGGCCTTTCCAAGTACTCCTACAGCGGGGGTGAGTGCAGCCCTGCGAGGCGGCGGCTCCTAACGCTGCGCTGCGCCTCCCGCCTGCGTCCTCAACCCCTTTCCCCTCGTTGCAGGCTTTGATTGCACCAGCAATGTCCTGGCGGGGAAGCTCTACGGCATCCCGGTGCAGGGGACCGTGGCCCACTCGTTCATCATGTCCTTCACGTCGCTGGCAGAGGTGCAGCCCCGGGTGAGTGTCGTCGTGGGTGGGAGAGGTGGGAGGATGAGACGCTCTTTCCGCAGCCGGGCAGGCCGCGTCCCACGTACCTCTGGCCTGTCTGCCCACGTGGTTTGGGGCACGCTGGGCTGTGGGGCACGCGATCGTGGGATGGAGCACGCTAGCTTGAGTGAGCCAAGAGGGAAGGACAGCACCGCGGTCCCATGGACGTGGGGTGTGTGACTGCAACTGAGGGCTGGGTCTCAGGGGATTTCTGATTCTTGTGACGTGAGACACGTGGTTGGGAGGAGAGGGGACATCCCCTGTGTCAGGTAGTTCAGGGAGAAATAGGGAACGTTGTGGGACGTTGAGTCATGGGGTGGGATGTGTGCAGGTCGTGTGAGCGAAGCCCTTCTCCCGCAGCTGGGGCCTGTCCCTCGGGCGCTGGGAGCACCCATGTCCCTCGTGTGCGGCTGCCTTTTATGGAGCTCGTTTTACCCAGCGAGCGGGACGCTGCCTCTGCCTGGCCTCTCCCCGCTGAGAACCGAGGTGGCGACCTGCAGATCCTCCTACAAAATGGGGAGTTAGGCAGCCGCAGGGACGTCTTTGCCACAGTGTGGCTCTTGTCCCCGGGCAGGTCCTGACCCCCCTCGCCGGAGGAGAGCCGGTGGATCTCCCGTCCCTGGCCGAGTCGTGGCTGCCGCAGGTGTGTGAGCTGCTGCAGGTCTCCCCCGACAAGGCGAACCGCGGGGAGCTGGCCGCCTTCGTGTCCTACGCCATCAGCTTCCCACGCAACTTCCAGGGGCTGCTGGACACGTACTGCGTCATGAGGTGAGGACGCCGGGGCTCTCTGCGGTGCGCTTCGCTCTGTGGGGCTCTCCCACCTCGCTGTGAGCTCATGTCCAAGATGAGATGTTACAAAGATGGGGAGCGCAGCGGGGCAAATGGGGCCAGACAGGTCCCTGCTTCCCGGCGAGTGTGAGATGGAGCTGGGGGACAGGAGAGGAGAGGGCAGCTTTTGAAAAGCCTCTGCTGCCTGGCCACTGTCTTGGGTAGTGTTTTTGCCTTGCCGAAGCCCTGCTGCTTCCCCATTGCCTTAGGTAGGAATTGAACCTGCTGCTAAATCTGCACTGGGTCCCCGTCTCATCACCACTTTGCCCTGATCCTTGCCATCGTGAGCCCAGCGTGGAGAGGGGTTGAGCCCCCCCCATCTCTTCCAGCAGCAAAAAATAGAGGAACAGGTTTGAAACCTGGAAAAGGAGGAGGCTCATCCTGCGACGTGCAGCTGAGCTGGGCAACTCGCCACCTCGGGATGCGGTGGGTGCTCAAGGTTTACGTGGGCTCAGGGGGACACCGGACACATCGAATCCATTGAAACAGATTCTGGCTCAGACTCTTTCTGCACAGCAAATTCCTGGTGCCTGGAAGCAGGCACATTTGCCTGCTTTTATTGCTTTTTCCAGTGCATCCACTGCTGGCCGCAGGTGGAGACGTCTAGCAGGGGAGAGGGCCTCGTATCGCGGCCAGGGCCACTGGCTTGTTCCAGCTCTGGGCTCACCACGGCCTCGCTAGACCAACCCTTCTCCTTGCCCTTGTCAGGAGTGGCCTTCCCAACTTCTGTGCCGTGGCCCTGGCCCTAAACCAGCTGGGCTACCGAGCCATCGGGGTGCGCCTGGACAGCGGGGACCTGACCAAGCAGTCCAAGGAGATCCGCCGGGTGTTTCGTGCCTGCAGCGCCCGGTGAGTCCCAGACACCTTCCTGGGTGGGGGACCCTGGGGAGCGCCCACGGGCTGCCACTGAACCTCTGCCTTCCTGCGCTGGGTGCCCAGTACCTCCTCCTGGCCGCTGCACCCACGTCAGGGTTTTCATGGGGCTCTCGCTGCCAGCTGAGCAGTGTGTTGTATGGTCGGCGCTGTGGGGAAAGTGGCTCGGCCTCGTGTGTGAAGAGCGCTCAGGAAAACTGGATGAAGTTGGGAGTGCTTGTGCTTGAGCTGCAGAGCTCCAGCCTGGCTCTCCCCTGGCTTCGCATCTCCTGGCTGGGTCAACTGGGGGTGGCAGCAGTCAAATTGCCCTCGCTGCTCTGGCTGGGGTGGTTGCATCCGCTCTCCTGCTCATTCTCTCTGTCCCTCGCTTTTCTCTCCAGCTTCCAAGTCCCCTGGTTCGAGACTATCTCTATCGCCGTGAGCAATGACATCAGCGAACGGACCCTGGAGGAGTTTATCCGAGAGGTGAGGTGGGCACCGCGGAGGCTGGGATATCACCTCTGCCTTCGCCAGAGGCCTCTGAGCTTCAGGGAAGGGTGGGCATGCATGGAGTGAACATGACGGTCACCTCGCCTCTCTCTGCTACTTGGTCTCTCCTTGTGTGAAAGCAGAAACAAAGGGTCTCCAGGCTGGAAAAGATGGTTTTTGAGTGGGCTGGACAGATGGATACTAGGCACCTTTGGGTAGAGCAGCCTCTAAGCTGCCCCGTGGCTCTGGTTTTAGCACAGACTAAAAGCCAGCAGCAGGACCGGGCTGTTGACAGTCAGTGTCTTCTCTGCCGTATCAGGGGAGCGAGATCAACATGATCGGCATCGGGACGAACCTGGTGACATGCCCCCTCCAGCCGTCGCTGGGCTGTGTTTATAAGGTAACGGTGGCTGGGGCTCAGCTGTCTGCCCCGCTCGGCTTGTGCGGCACGGGGATTCCCGGCTCCTGCTTGGGCTCACGCGTCTGGGCTGAATAGCAGAGGGGAGACCAGCTCTGCCGGACACCGCTGCAAGGCAAAAGTCCTGTTTCTTGCAGGTGATGGTCACAGGAAGACTGTAACAAAAAGTTTGTGGTGGGGGGAGTGTTGGGTCAGGAGGGGGCCAGAATTTCCAACTTTGGGGGTGGCCTGGGTGTTTTTATGATTTATTTGGCTGTTTCACATCAGGGTCACATGTAAAGATGGGACAGATTCGCTCCTTTGGGTTTATGCCCAGCAGACCGGGGCTGCAGCGGAGGTGTAGAGAGAGAGGCGTTGGAGCCACTCTGCCTGGCTAAGAGCGGCCAGCGGGCGCTGTGATCTCCGCGTAGTCCCCGCTGCCAGCGTGAGCCAGTGCTTGCTACAGAAATGAGGTGCCCGTCCCCATAACCTCCTCTCTCCTCAGCTGGTGAAAGTGAACGGCTCTCCTTGCCTGAAGCTCACGGAGGACAGGGAGAAGATGACGATCCCCGGGACTAAGACGGTGTATCGGCTCTACGACGCTGCTGGTGAGCGCTGCTGCTCGTGGTGCCCATCGTCTGCCTCCACCGCCTGTCGAGAGGGCCTGGTTAGCCCGCAGGCAGCGTGGCAGTGGATCGGAGTTCCCCACACACAGGGCAGCCTCATGGCTGCACCGCTGGGATGTTTCTCCAAACAGCGGGCTGGTTTGGTGCTGAGCAGAGCGTTGGGAGACTGCCTCCTGCGGTGCTGCCCAGCTGAGCCGCATCCTCCAACCCGCTCCTGTCCCGTACTCCTGCCTCCAGCATTGCGTGCGTCCGCTCATCCCCTAACCCGGCGCCCCTGCAGGTCACCCCTTCATGGACCTCATGGCCCTGGAGGAGGAGCCCTCACCCAGCGCAGGCCAGGAGCTCACTGTCCGCATCCTGGGGAGCGAAAAGGCCAGCAAGGTCAGACCCGCCACCGTGGAGAACCTGCATCGCACATACTTCCAAGACGGACAGGTCAGAGCCAACTCTACCCTCTCCCCTCCATGGGCTCGACCCTGGTGCACACGGTGCTGGCCAGGGTGCAGCCAGCCCGGGCGGTCAGGGGGGTGGGGCGGGGGGGGGGGGGGGGGTCCATGCCGCATGCAGAGCACGTTCACCCAAGCGAAGAAGCCAGGGAACGGAGGGGGCACGGGGCGAGGAGACTCCCTCAGCGACGCTGGCAAGGCACAGTCCCTCTGGGGTTGGGACGCGTCCCTGGGAAATCCCATTCCCTTCCGAACGCCTCAAGCTGGATGTAGTTTTTGCCTCGTCCGAGGTGGGTTTCCATGGACTCTCAGCAGAGTCTGCAGGGTCTCGGCCCAGCTGCATGGGAGGTGGAGACGGGGGAGTCCCCCACTGAGCCCTCAAGCGTCTCACGGCTGCTTTCAGCCATGCGGCCGTCACTGCGAAGCCTTGGTTTTGGTCACTGCATTACTAAAACCCAGCCAGGGTTTTCTCAGGTGTAAATTTTATTTTATTTTATTTTTTAAATGAAGTAGCTTTTGTAGGAGCAAAACCTGTGCTCAGAGCTCCGCCAGACCCTGGGTCGTTTGGGACGTGGGCTGGCTCCTCGTACAGATGTGGTCGCGTGCCTCCTTCTCGCAGGTGTGCGAGGCGCTGCCCAGCCTGCCGGAGGTGAAGAGCCACGCGCAAGTGTCCCTCAGCCAGCTCAGCCCTGCGCACCGGAGACTCCACGAGCCAGAGCCTTACCCGGTACGGTAGGAACTTGCTGGGGCCAGGAGGTCGGCCCTCGCTGCAGGAGGTGGGACAAGGGGCTGGTCCTCACGTGCCTGGTGGTGGGGAAACGTTCACTGTGTCCCCCTGTGCTCTTGCACCAGGTGGCCATCACGGAGAAGCTGCACCTCCTCTTTGAAGAGCTGCAACAGGCCAGCCGGTGAGCGCACGGCGCTTGCCCTCCGCGCCGTCTGAACCGGCGCCGGATGCAGCCCTTGGCAGGGGCCAGCTCTTCCTCCGTGCTCTTTCAAGATCTGGCGACTAACTGGTAATTAATGGCTCTCCTGACGTTGTCGCTCTGTGGGTGCTGAGCCGAGGACGGCGCAGGACCTGGACCCTCTCCCCGCCTTCCCAGCAACACCAACTGGACCCAGCGAGGAGGAGGTGGGCAGAGCAGGGCGGCACCAGCCGTGCCTTCTGCGTTGACAGCGCTGCCCAGGCAAAGGGGAGGGGGCCGCCACCGCTGTCACCGCCTCTGGGCCACAGGTCTCTGGGATGCGGCACTTATAGGCCTGGTTAATACAAATACAGCGAAGGCACTGCTGCAGCCCAGAGCGTCCCAGAAACGCCCCTGCTGCCACCACCAAGCCAGCCCGTTGCCACTGCAAAGGTGGCGGACTGCCTGCATGGCGCCAAGCCCCCATCGGGGGTTGTTGGTGTCACTAAAGATGCTGTCTCAAGCGAACAAAAAGGGGCCTGACATGAAATTACTCCCCCTCAATCTTCTTCAGCTTGTGCTTTGCGGGACATCCATGGCAGGATGCACTTTGCCCTTTTGCTCTCAGCTTTGACTCTCTAACCACCTTTTTTATATCTTCCCATTTTTTTTTGTATCAGTCCACGAACAAGTGCTCCAGAGCATGGAGACTAGTTTCATTCCACAGGCGGGAACGTTAACTTGACTGTTATAGCGAGATGCTTTCTATAATCTCTGCGCTTACTTTGTCCCAAGCACAAAATGAAATAAATGCCTTAACCCACTAGCTGCAAACACACCTTGTGGCTGCCCTGGTCCTTCAAACAAAACTCACTTTCTTCAGCTTGAACGTTTAACTCAATGGCCTTCACTTCATGGCATGGTTTAGACTTGAATAAAGGTAACACGAAAAGCAAGCGATTACAGTAAAGGTGCCTGGGTTCTTCCCGGGCAAGTGCTCCACATCCCCCTTTCGTGGCATCCTACAGCCCTAACTCCTGCTCTGGCTCATACGTCTTTGCTAGCGCCTTTTGGGGTACGTCTCAAACATGAGGCACACAGGACAGCTGCGGCAAAGACTAGTCAAAGACTTTATCACAGTAGGATTAACAAAATTTGTCACATGGAATGGAAAAAAAACCCACAACAACAACAACAAAAAAACAGACCAAGTACTCTTCCCTTCTCAGATGAGCATGTTTTTGCTAACCCTGCCTCAATTTGTAAGAGGAAGATAGCAAATCCCCACCCACCCACCCCAAGCTTGCAAAATGTACAGCCAAAGATGCCCAGATCGAGACACACACTAAAACGTGCAGTGATGGAAGGCAACACAGAGCTCTCCAGTGAGATTCGCCCGCTATTCCTCACGGCCGAGACCCAGATCAACACTGGGCTATTCCAGACACCGGACCTGTCGGCAGGAGCCTCGCTTTTCCCCACTGGTGTTCAGCCTTAACATCCACACGCCTGTCTCCAGTGACCACAAGGAAACTTGGCTGGATTTGCACATCCTTCCCAGAACAGTCTAAGTAAGTGAGAGGTATTTGTGGTGGGTTTTTGTTTGTTTGTTTACATCTTTGCAGCATATGTTGATGGGAGGTGGGAAAAAAAACCCACACGCACTGGAAATTAAGAGCGTAGCGTAGCACTGCCTGGTGATCTTGTGTTTTTAGAGAAAAAAAAAAAAACAGGTTAGAAAAATCACTGTTGCAGTGCTACAGCTGGGCCTGTCATGTGTAAGGCACTGTATCATCCTTAGAACTTTAAAAGCAGGGGGGACGACCCTAAACCTCCAGCTAATAGGAAGCTGGTTTTCATTTTAACTTAATAATTTTAGAGCTAAAGTGCCAAAGACACAAAAATCTCAGCCCACAATATACCTGAGTAGAGATTGTCCTGAGTTCTTGCAAGCTACTGAATGAAGAGCAACTTTCAACAGACCCGGACAAGACGGGGAGAGGCCCCAGCAGCAGCAAACCAGTCAGCCCTCGCTCCACGGGCACAGAAGAGAGCAAAGGGAATTAGCCAGCGGAGCTCGGGAAGCCAGTGCACAAGAGAGAGCAGGTAAATCCATCCGCAGGACGATCCTCTGCTAGAGCTGCCGCCACCTCTCCCGCCCGCAGACGGAGAGACAAAAACTCTTCCAACACTGTCACTTTGGCATCAGGAATTCAGCTCACCGGGTGTATCGCGGCTCCAAAGCGGGGGCACAGCCTCACCCGTCGTCGTGCGCTCTCTGCTGCGGCTCTCCGGCAAGCGACGTTCATCTAATGCTTCCGGCGTTATCTTTCGAAACCAAACGCCTTGCGCGTAGGGCTAGTACACGTGCAAGAGGCCAACATAAAAGAGCTAAACCTGCGACAGGCAGGGTCTTTGGAAGGGGAAGTGCTCAGTGATCCAGCGAGGCACAAACGCTCAGAAAGGGCGAGCGCCAACCGCGCGGCCTGCAGGGAACAAAGCCACCAGGGAAATCTCTCGAGCGCACCAGCAGCTTTGAGGTCTCACTGCGTGCCAACCATCCAGGTTTGTTATAGGCCAGCCCATCCTTTGTAGAAACCGCATACAGAAATAGAGGACGTACACGAAAGTTGATAAAGCTATCAAGCTGTCGAGGTCCCTGCTACCAGCCAAAAAAAGGTCCCAATCCCATGTGCATCGCTGCGCGGCCCAAGCTGACAGGCAAAGCTACAGGTTGCAAGCTAACACAGGCTGCAGGAATTATAAAGAGGTTAAAAAAAAAAGAGAAGGAAGGAGCATGTGCTTAATGGTAGACAACCCCCAATTTGCAAACTTAAATAATTTAACTTAACAGAATACTAGTTTCCCCAGAGACCTCCCCTCCCCCCAACCCTTATTGCAGTTACAGCAGAAAACCCAATCGGGTTCATTTTTATAGTGCTGGATAAGGGAAGCGATGACAACTCTGGGACCATGACAGTTGAAGAGAGGCCCGCACCTTGTGGGGTCACATCCCAAACCCCCTTCCTCACACATCCCTTAACAACACAGATACAGCTCACACCTGGTTTTCCCACTCAGCGAGTCCACATGAGGAAGTGTTACACAGGGCGAGACCACGGTTTTCTTGTGCTCTTTGCACACCTGAGGATAACTGCTCAGCTGATTAGAGGTGCTGGTCCTGACCTTCGGAGGGAAGAGCTGGCAGGGACAAGAGGAAGTTGCAGGAAGACCCTGAGGGCAGAGCTGCAGAGTACCTGAGAAGGGAGGAGAGTGGGAAAGGAAGGTGGGAAAAGCAAATGTATTTGAAGGTAAGTAATTCAGAGTTCAGGTCTGCAGGAAGCACAAACTATCACTTGCTAAGGCCAGACAGGCTCATGTAGATAGTTTGATACCAGGTGCTGGAAGAGGCAAGAAGAGGCAAAAGTGCAAGGTGTCAGTGTACCCGCAGTCCGGCTGCTTTCACTGATTAACAGCTGCAGGTTTGATCCACGCTCACGTTTCTGAAGCCTCGCTGCTCTGTGTGGCAGCGCCAGCCCAAGGAAGCGTCACTTGTAAAGCGCCATCTTCTTACTCTGGTACATATACATGTAGGCATCGCAGAAGAGGCGTTTGGCCACTCCATCCATGTCCCGGGGTTGCTCCAGGGCCAGCGCAGCCACTGGCAAGTCCAGGTATTTGGCAACTTCAGGGCACAGCGTTACCATGGGAATGTTGAAGCCATTTTCATCTCCTATCCCAAAAAGAGGGAGAGAAGTGTGAGTCCCAACCAGGCCCCAAGGGACAAATATCCACAGTTCAAGCAGATACCACAGCAAGGGACAGTAATGTAGTGCCTTAGCTGAGATATCGAGATGCCAAGAACAAACTGGGCCAGGACAGAACTGTCCTTGCCCACAGCGCAGCCAACCCTATCTGGCTCAAGAAGTCCCTCATCTGAAAACGGCCAGAGGATGAGAGCACTAGGAGGAATAATCACATACGCTTGGCCTGGTTGTACTCTTGCGTAGACTTTGCTTAATGGTCACTGTTGGAAGCAGGATCCCGAGAGAGCCTAATTCGGGTATGGGGCTTCAGGGGAAAAGGCTGTCCTTTGTTATATAAAGCTGTTACTCCCCAGTACCCCTCGTTCGCCCCAAAAGCCTGGCGCTCCTTTTAGACACGGCACAGGGTCACTCTGAAGCACTGCTAAAACCGTCCACCACTGTGCCTCGAAGCAAACTGACCAGTGCCTACGCAATGCGCGTTACAGACCCTCATTGACGCCCGCTGCGCGACGCTCACTGCAATCAAAGCTCCGAGCCCGCCGCCCCGTCCTCACCATGCCTGTCGGCCATGCTGTCGAAGAACATCCAGTGTTTGTCCTCGGGGCCATATTTCACAAAGGAGACGTAATGGCTGGTCTCAATACAGAGCATTGTAAAGAGCTCCATCTTCTCGCGGGGGACCTGCTGGCTGCCTCGGGGGCTCATACTGTGAAACTCTTCGGGGATGCGCAGCCTGGTCGGCTTGTGCGCTTTGCGCCGGTAATGGGAGTGAACCTGAGGAGAGACGGTGGGGTGTACCGCTGAGCGGGCAGGACAAACTTTGTTCTCAATTGATCTACCTTCCACGCAGCTGACTGCCCCGTGTGCCAGGGAACGGCACAACATCCACATCCTGAAAGTCAGAAGTTGAGATGGGAAGCTGCTGCCCTCCAAGAAAGGCTGTAGGAATGCTCTGAGCAAGACAATGCGAAGGGCCCAGCACTCAGTCTGTGCAGGATCGGTGCTTATTTAGGCTCTATGTAAGCAGAGTGCAATGTATGAGAGTTCAATAACATGTGGCAACTGACGCCGCTAGGGTAGCTCATTCAGTTGGCAGGACTGACAGCTCAGGAAAGGGCCCCTCTGTGCCCGACCTGAAGAGCTGCAGGGACAGCAAGGGAAACGTGGGTATTTCAGAGGTTTTGATCTGTTGTCAGCCACCAGGGCAGATTTTGGAAGCACCTAAAGAAACCGAATACCTGTTTGGAGCAGGAGTTGCAGAATTGCTTCAGGCCTGTAGCTGCGAATATCTTGTCTTTGAAACACTCAGAACACTCCAGGGTGGCGACATCGCCACACAGGCAGCACTCCCTGGGACCTGCAGGGGGTAACAGGACGTGTCCTCCCTAGGTCTCACCAGAAATGCACCTTGTCCTGCCACAACTAGTGTTCAGGGAAGAGGAATCACAGTACGAGTCCCCCCTCACATCTTCTGCTCACAACCCAAAGAGTCAAGACCCATCACGTGGTTCCTCACAGACCTATCGGTCAGCTTTACCATTGCGCAACAACTTACTGTCAAGCAGCAGATCGGTTATATCCAGCTCTAAGGAAGGAATGATTTTGCTGAACATTTTATATTCCTTCCCAAAACGTGGCATTTGGATAATGAAACAAGATGGGATCTGGGAAAAGAAAGGCAAATGAGTCACCAAGCCAGAAGAGACAAGTCCCAGAGACTCTTCGCTCCCTATTGCTGCTCAGACTAAAGATTTTCTGCTCAAGTTATCCACAGAACACGACAGCAACAGGGGAAAGCAATATCCCTCTTCCTTCATGTTCAGATTTCCCAAGACTTCTCTCAGGTTGTACCTATGTATCCTACTGCTTTGCTGTGTTAGAGAGAAGACACACACTAAACCCACTGCCAACTAACTAGCACGCACAGGTATGTTGGAGGAAGTGGGAAAAAAAAAAAAAAAGGCAGTAGATAGTGAGGAAGAGAGAAGGTAGCTGGGCTCACCTCCACTAGCTTCAGATCGGAGGACAGGAAGGAGTGTTCCACTAACTGCTGTACATCAGGAACCACCAGATCCTCCTGTTTGTCCATAAATATCTGGTAACAGTAACAGTCCTGCTCCTCCTGGCCTCCAGACCTGCAGGGAGCGGTCACAGGGAGCTTGTCTACTTGGTGCCACGGACATCTGAGCTCTCAGAAGACATACCATTTTTGTCCTGCAATAGCTTCTGGGCACAAGGCACAAAGGGCTGCGTGCTGTAACAGTGAAATGAAGCACACTTCCACCCAGAAATACTAAATGCATGCCATGAGAAGAGGACAGGAGTACCATATTCATTCCATATTCAGTCGCTTTATCCTGCATATCATCACATCCTGCTCCAAAGAGCATAACTCATTTTCCCCTCTTCAGTGTAAAAATTTAAGACGTTTCAGTATTTTTCAATCGACTGCTTCACAGCACAATCAGCAAAATCAGCTCAGATGACAGATCTATTTATAACTGCACATACAAAAGCTGCAAAGCAAAGCCCGGTTCCATTCAAAAGGTGAGTTATGTGCAAAAGATGTCGCAGAACCTTTACATCCCTGAGTTAGCGCAGGCAGGATTTCCTTTAGCCAACCCTCTGCAGGGGAGCTGGAGTACAGAGTTGCCTTTGTACTCAGCCGTTCTGAGCAGCTCCATGATCTAAGGCTTGACTGACATCCCAACAAAGGGGCACAGAAATCTAACAATCCCCTTCTATGCTCCTGAACAGCACAGTTAGTTTTGGCTTCCTTCAGACCCTCATCTTCTTTGTCAAGTCCTGAAAAACTGGGACTTACACTCCATGGACTCCCTGCTTGAGAGACTCTAGGATCCGAGCCAGCTTGACAGTCTGGACACATCTTAACTGCATCCAAAGGCCATCAGATAGTGTTGGCTCTGCACTGAAGACGGATACTATGTTTCTCAAACCACTGCTGGCTCTCCCTAAGGATGACACTCTTTTTTCATCATTTTCTGAAGGTGGAACATCCAGGGAGAGTTTAGAAGTCTCTTTTCTTGTGCTGGCCACCTGGGACAGGATCACAAGCTGTACAGACTGTAATTAAAGGACAGCAGAGAGGACCTGTGCACAACTCACTGAGCCTTCAAAGCCTTGATCAAAGTGAAAGTAATACTTGATAATTGCAAGGTGGATAACCGGTGAACCAGGTCCGGGTAAATTACATCATCTAGATACAGAAACTTACTGCAGTTTCAAGAGTGGCTCTATTCCCAGGATCTGATGCATTATCAGATTGAGGAACTCCTCAGGATCTGGAAAGTCAGAGAAAAGCGCAAGTCACATCACACCAGTGACATTCCCTTACCCCACTGCATCCAGAAGGCTAAAACTCTCAGATAAACATGAGCTAGCATTTTTGAACTAGGAATCTCCTCTTTTACTCTAGGTAAGGTGGCATTTGGATTAGGAGCTGAGAGCATTTGGTTAATGCATAAATCCTCAGGTGAGCGTGAAAAAAGTGAGCCGGCCCTCTGAAAAGAGACAGCAGAAGAGGAAATGGCCTTCTCCTAGCTGCTTTTTCAATCTCTTCAAAACAGAATGATTTTTTCAGCTGTATTTGGGAGGAGTCACATGTATGCAGAGTAGATCGTGCACTCTTCCAAGCTGAGCCAACACAGTGACACTCTCAGAGAGCCACCTTAACGGACAGTTACTGTTAGCACCAAGGCATTAACTAAAAGTGAAACGAGGGACAGCTATGGAAGCTCATGAAAGAGCAGCAGCTAAACCATCCCCGGCTAAAATACGTATACCATACCACCAAAAAAAAAGTGCTGTTCACTGACAAGATACCTGCTGTTTCTGGAAGAATCAATGCCACGATTACTATCCAGGTTCTTGCAGCTTGTTGCATGGTACTGGAGGAATCCCTAGCCTGTCTTTGTTCTAAACATGCGGGACCTTGCTACGCATGGACAGGAATGTGGTGACTGCAACCAGAGGGAAGGGGGCTTCAGCTATAGTGTTTTCTGTCTTATTTTAACCAAACCACAGTCTTTGAGGAACCTCATATAACTTACCAGAACTCAAGCTTAGCAATACAATAAACCAAGCTGGTTTCTGGCAAGGATATCAGGGACAGACTTATCAGGGCATAACTCCAAGTATAAATCAAAGGTTAGAGAAATTTCCTTCGCTTCAATTCTGTTTACACAGTTCTTCCTCTCCCCCCCACCCCCAGCAGCAACTGCCACCAGCTAGAGCTCTAGCAATTCCTGTCTTTCCATCAGACGTAAGTCTTTCCAGCAAACTGAAGTTACAAACTCCACAGAGTTTAAAAACCTGAAAATATTTTCTGTGCACATTTTTACATAAATTTAAAATATATAAAACGGGCATGGGAGAAGTGCAAAACTAAGTTGTCAGCCTGGCGCCTGGATGAGGCCGTTCACACCCAAGCAATTCTGGACAGTCTCCAGAGAACGCATTACCTTTTTCAGCAGTGGTAAAGCTTGAACATTGGCCCTTCTCAGTAAGCTGCTCCCTAAGGTGCATCACACTCCTGGCCATGACGAAGCCGGTCCTAGAAACAAGCAGCAGCTGCAGATGATCTCTGTAGCATATTTAAATCTCAGCATCACAAAACATCCCTAGCTTGCATTCCAGCAACCAGTTCCAGGACATTGTCCACCAAGGAGGATGCTAACATCTTACATACAGGCAGCTCTCAATGCCTCTCTCTCACACCTAGTGAGGCAGGATGAGGAATGAATTTGGTATTTTTGATATAAGCCCAGAAAATGTAGCTCTCCTGCCATGGTCTACCCTGTTACAGCCCAACATTGCATACTGGCTTTAGGTATTGTCGGTATTAACTTTTCATGGATCAGCTGTCGAGCAAACTGTGTTCGTGTTCTGTAGTGATGCCATTGATTTACCAGCTCCAAGGCTTCCCCACAGAGGTGGTCTCAATCCCCAGGAGTCACCTTTTAGTCCTTTCACTGGGAACTGGAGCTCACAAGGCTTCCTCCTGACTAGGGAAGACCAGACCTGGCTTGACAACATAAACCCTGTGCAGGAGTTAAACTAGAGACAACCTTCTGGCTGGGGTAGAGAGAATCGCCTCCCTGCAGTATTCCCAACTCAGCAGTGGGGGTCAGTGCTAGACTGGCCCTTCTCACATGGATGCCACAAGACCAACAAGCTGAAAGATCAACGTTCTGACTTTTGTAGGCATTCCTACAGCCTCAGGAATCATGGCAGCCTTACAGTAAGGTGGAAGGCAACAATTGGAAGAGAAAGCTGAGAGGAAGACCTCTGCGTGTGGCTGGCAGGAGAACCCCTCCAGGTCACCCTTTCTCTCAGTGACACGTATCGTGACCGGTGGAGGGCAGAGCAGCAGAGAAGGCAGGAAGACAGATGGACAACTTCCAGGATTCCCACACGCTATACTCACTTCCGGAGGGGATTAACGATCTCATCTCGCAGAATGTTTTGGACATTCCTGTCACACAAGGGGAAGGGCTTAAAAAGCATGGAGTCCAGCACGGATGTACAGGAGAAGAGGCTGCAAAGAAAGCACGCTGCGTAAGTCTGATGGGTTTGCAGCTGCAGCTATAACCAATTTGTAGTGCCTAGTGACAGTTGCCGGCTTTTATTTTCAACAACCCGTGCATGCAGTTACAGAAATATGAGTGACAGAGAGCCTCCACAGTGAGATGATAAACCGTATTTGGTTTAATGAACACTTGTAGTAAGCAAGCAAACGGCTTAGCGAAAAGTGAATCTCATGCTTTGCAGCCAAAACTGCTCATGGAGGGCACCACTGAGTCTTTTCCTCTCCAGTGCTGCATCCTGGCATACCCTGGGCAGTTTCTTGCAAATATGTTTCCAGTCATTAGCTCCAGTCATCAGCCTGGTCCAGTCCAGCAAACTGTGATCTTTCACTACCCTGCACGCATGACAGATACACGAGTACCTTAGGTACTCCTGAGGGCTACTTTGAAGCTCGAGAACCTACCAGATTACAAAGGAGCTCAAAAGGCAGCAAGCATTGAGGCTGCGTCTCCACACATTTATATCCTGTTTTACGCTGGGTGAGTTTCCAGCTGTGCTGGAAATACAGGGAAGCATTGCACTTTAGGCTCTGCCCCAAATAAAAAGTTATTATTTAGCAGCAGGGCGCTGCCCAAGCAGACTCGTACCTGAAGAGAGCTGCATCCATATAGCAGGAATTACAGTGGCCTTGAATCCCCTTCATCCGCCCACGCAGGATGTGCACTGCTGCCTCATTCCTGAGGGGAGGAAAATTGACCAGAACCTGTGGAAGAACTTCCTGCTCTCCTGCAACACAAGTAACAGAAGCAACTCCCTTTAGCTTCCCACCTTGGCTGGGTCACCTCTGCCCTTCCCTCCTGCCCTGAAGGGCTGCTCTGCTCAAAGGTCAGCGCGCTGCTTTCCTGCACTGCTCCTCCTGGGACAGAACCACGCTGGGCTGAAGGCTTGTCTCTTTAGTCATTCATCTACTAGAAACAGGACAAAACCTAACCATCTGTTCCTCACCAGAGCTGGGCCCTACCAATCCACACTGCCTCTACCATCCTTATGCCAAGGATTAATGAAGAGAAAAAGAGCTACAAAGGAGCTGATGCTGTGTTAGATGCAAGCTTGGGATCTCTCTGCAGAAAGATCTGTGATGCAAGCCGTGAACATCGAGCCTGAGGGAGTAGGTAAAAGCTGGCACAAAACAACAGTCCATCTGACCCTGCCATGAACGAGAAGGACTGAATGTCCTGCCTTACCCTGGTTCCAGAAAGGAATAGAAACGCACAGGGTTCAGTTGAAGCATCTCCAAGGACATGGAGCAACACTACGGGAGGTGCTGTGCCATCATATTGGGAGTAGTCGCTGCGTCCCTAAGGTCTTAAACCTCTGAGCACGCGTTATGGCAGCATTCATAATCACCTGAATGGCAGAGCCAGAACATGACCCCAGTAACAAAGGGACAAACAAGCAACTTTGCTTTTATAGCTGGTCCATACGTGGCTCTCAAACACTACAAATTACAACCGACAGCATCCCCATAGGGCAGGCAGGCGTCAACACAATTTCACAGGAGAAAATTCAGGAGAATTTGAGGAACTAAGTTAGTCCATGGCCACAGTGAGACAGCTCCTAGCATCAAAAAGGAGCAGCTAAGGCTCCAGCCCGCTTCCCTCGCTATTCCTGCTGCAGAGCAGACAGGGTGAGGAGAAGCCCAGTTGCATTCTCATCCCCTGGCCTGCCATCTCTTTAACCACTAAGCTTTCTTGAACCTGATCTTTCTATTTCTTTGGTGTTTTCCCTTTCTACTCCAATCCCCTCTCTTCAGTGTGTCCTTAAAATACTTTTCCTTCTCCCTGCTCCCGTTTTTGGGGAGTAGCTAAAGGAATCCGGATGTCTCATTTACAGTTTCTAAACGACTAGTTCACATGGTCTGCTGAACTCTGGAGGTATTTCTTGCTGTTCAAATGAAAATATTGGCCTGTCCTTCCCTGTATCTTCTTGTGAATGTCCTGTCATCACATCAAGCTCTATATTAAAATGAACTTAATCCCTCTCCCTTTCCCAGCTCCTCCTTATTTCTCAGTCTCCAGGTAGGTACAACAGCGTTATCACCCGACATCCTGGCCATAGGCCTGAGTTACCCCTTCCAGTTCTCCAGATCCACGTGTACAACTTACATTGGCATAACATTTAAGATAGGGTATCTAGGTTAGGCCCTACAGCTAGTGCTTGTCCACAGTCAGGTCTCAATTATACAAGACCTTTCCTTCTGCCCAGAAAACCATGGGCAGAAGAACCCTGCCTTGCTTGCAGCATTCAAAATGCCTTGCAAAGACTATCGCTCTAGACCACCGTGTTGCGTTGCCTTCCTACATTTCCCCTTCTCTTACACATACATGCCACAGTGTCCTCACTGTTAGAGCCGTTCACAGCATGTTGCCTTGTATTCACTGCCTAGCCCCCGTAAGTCTAGTTGATGTTAACCCTGCCTTTAGTTATTTACTGTCCCTCACATGTGTGGGGCGTTCCCTATAAATACCATCATGTCAATTTTAAGGACTGTGAGCACTCTTAAGTGTTGTAACAAGAGAGAAATACAACTTTGCCAGCGAGTTCTGATGTGCAGTGGATTGGAAAATGTAAAGAAACATTCATTTCCTCTGCACAAGGAGGCAGATCAGGCCTACCTACAGTCCTCTCTGAGGCTGAAAGGGGATCATGGACTCTTTGAATAGTAATATGACACATATTGCTCTAGACACGTACTAACAGAGACTGCTCACAAGGATCCTCTGTAGCGTGCCTTGTCCTAGCACGATACCGCGTCCCCCCTCCCCAGAGAACTTACCATAATCCATAAGATTCAGGTCACTGTTGTGCGAGCACTGGAAGCGAACATCCGGCTGGCACGACTGCAGCTTCACAAAGAGGCCACGCTTTGGAGCACAGTGGAAATAATATTTGCCCAGCCATTCACCAGCTGTGACCCCCTTATCTTCATCCTGGGAAAAGAGCACTGATGAACCACATGAGAGCTGGCACTGTATGAATGAGGTGTGATTTGCCATACGGCCATTTTGTATCTTGAGAGCTATGTACGTTTGGTCTTGTTTTGCTAACTACTTTCATTTATTCTGGTTATGTTTTTAATCTAGCAATCCCGTTTGTAGGGACTCATGATTATTCTGTCCCACGTTCCAATAACGTCACTCAAGGTTCTGGAAGACCTTTGTCAGAACAGCAAATAAAGCCTCATAATCGCTCTGCAGGCAATAAAGTGTCCTCAGTGATAAATGGGGTAACAAGGCAGAATGAGACTTGCCCAATTTCCTACAGCAAGTCAGTAGAAGACCTATATATAATAAGGAATACACTTGATCAGCTGTGCTTGTCCTCACAGTTCAATCTCTGACATGCCAGTAGCCCAACTCCGGTCAGGCTGAGAGATACACAGTCACAAACTGAAGTAGTCTTCAGAGAGAAGAACAAAGCAACCAAGACCTGTCGGTTCTGATTTTCAGTCTCACAGCAAGAAGTATTTTGCTCCTTACCAGTTCAACTCCTGCCATTTTGTGCTTAATCTGGGGCAGGTACCCCAACCAGCGGATGATTCCTGAAACCTGATTTCCCTTGTCCAAGGTGATCTGGACCATGGAGTTCACCTCCAGGGATGAATTCCCACTTTCACAGTCCTCACCGCTCTCATTTCTCTCTCGTTTCATCTGTTTTGGCTGTCCCAAGCCCATGTCAGGCTCATATGGTGGAAACAAACCTAATGGGCAAATACAGAATGTCAGGAGAGGCAGGAAGTCAACATCTAATGACAGACACCTCTGGGTCTCACCACTGTCTTCCCAATACCAGTTCTATTTTGAAATTCTAGAGCAAAGGGAAGCATGAGGCTGAGCATGGGAGACATGAGGTGTGATTCGCAGCATGCATTTCAGTGATATGGAAAAGTTGGTCTAATAGCTTGCTGCTGCTGAAAGCAGATGATCCCACTCCTTATTTCCCTGTTCAAAACTGCACAATCTGACTTCACTCTGGAGCTTAATCCAGCCCTTTGCAGAGCCATTTCAGGCTGCTGAAACAGTGGTGGGTCCCTGCTATTTTTCTGCCTTTATTGAGATGAATCAGCTCAATCTGATGACTGCTCCTCTCGGGCTGGTCCTGACAGCAATACAAAACACTTGGTGGCAAGGTACAGAATCCACTAATTTGTAAGTTTGCCTAATGACTCACACCGTCACTGCTGTCATCTGTGCCTTTCTGAGTTTGGCTGGCGCCAAGATGAGGCTATTGCTCCACCTTCTACAACTAAATTAAAGACTCTTTGACCAGTGGTATTTTCTTCCCTATAAAATACTTACGCACTACAATCAGACTCTCTGTTCTTTCCGATAAATTGGGAGACTCTGAGCTCTAGTTGCCTAACGCAAAGAATTTTGTCTAGAACTTGAGATTTTTTTTAATGAAACTTTTCTGCCTCCTGATCCTGAGCTAGTTGGGACTAGCTGATGCTTCTGTTGCCCTTTCAGCTAGTGCCCTGCAGAGAAGAAATAAACGCCTAAATCCACAGGATTGTACACAGGGCAGACATATCTCATGATAACCTACTTTGAGAGAGCAAGCTTTCCTTCACAACAGAGTCCATAGGGATTTCTCTGAAAATGTCAGTTGTTCCTTCTTCCTCCTGATAGGAAAGAAGATTGTATCAGCTAAATGCTCTGTCAGACATAGGGCGCTCCTGGAACATGAACCCGTTTTTAAAACGGGCCTGAAAAGTTTGCAGGTAACTCCGTGTCCCTTTTGGGCACTCCTTCCACTACTTCTTAAGGCCCCGCCACGACACAGGTACAAAACAAACAAACAAAACAAACAAGAAAAGAAGGCAAGGCTGCTCTTACCGGACAAACTTTAACGAACCACTGGCTTCCCTCCCTGTAAACTGCCATTGCTATTCCCTTTGTGAGGACCTCGTCCACATAGAAACTAACTGCATCTCCCACTTTCACAGGAACCAACTCCTCCGCGTCTGGCTTTGGCTTCTGTTTCGCATGGTCGTTGTCAGGCACAGGAGTAAACTGGACTCTGTTAAATGGCAGGAAGACCCCACAGTTCCGCTTACACTTGAAATACTCAGTGCCGTGGTAAGATCCATCATTGCGCCCTCTGCTTTCACCTTCACCCTGAAAACATGCCAGAAAGGCGCGTTACATCCCGAGCCACAGGCAGGTCAGCGGAAAGACACCTAACCAGGAACGTGGCAACCTAATCTTATTTAAGAGGTGGATTTCTGCAAAACCTAGTGAAAACAATGGGAGCTAGGTGCTGGGGAGAAGAGCAATCCTTGCTCTCCCGCTGTAAAGTGAGTCACGCAGGGGACTAAATTTTCTGTTGAGCTGTGCAAGGCAAGAGAAGGTGTTGTTAGAAGGGAGGAGCAGAGACAAAGCAGTTGCATGGCCTGGACCAGGCCCACACAACACAAGGGCTATACAATCGGAGCAGAAATACCACGACGTTATGAGCTGTGCGCCCTCCTAAGCTATGGCACGGGATTCTCACAAACATAAAGGGAATAAAGCATCTTTTTTTCTTCCTTGGCCACTTTACCTGCAACTCCACCCCAAAGAAGAACGGAGAAAGCACAGACGAAGTATTTTTGTGAATGCTGCCAATGTAGCGGATGACACCAGGGAATTGTTGCCGGTCAACCTCCACCATCACTTTTTGGCCAGGCGTAGCCTTCAGAGCTGCTTCAAGGCTCAGTCTCTCCAGGAAGTAGTTCAAACGTTCGTTGTGGCTGCTGATGGCCAGGAGAAAGACAGCTGTCTCCTCGCGCACAGGTTCAAGGATTTCTACATTTACTGTGACAGTGGAGCTGTCATCCAACATGACAACTTTGAGGAAACAAGCAGGGGGCCTGTCATCCGAGAAGTTGCGCAGGTAACTTCTCTCACTGCAGAAGCACATGTTCCCAGCTTGAAAGTACTTGCTGCCATAGGTACAGTCATCTGTCAGGATGTAATAGCAATATCCATCCCCTACTGAAGGCAGGATGCTGGTCGTCATCTTTCCCCTGGCTTCTGAGAACTGGCAGTCACACTAGGGCAAGAAAAATTTTACATGTGACATCTTTATAACAGTGTTGATACACACGTTATCACAGGATCTCAGAATAATTCAGGTTGGAAGAGGCCTCCGGAGGTCTCAAGCAGGTTGTTCAAGCCTCATCCAGTTGAGTTTTGAGTATCTCCAAGGATGCACAATCTCACATCCTCTCTGCTACCCTGTTCCAATGTCTGACCACTCTCACGGTGGAAAAAAGAAACCCGTTCCTTGTACGAACCAGGATCTTTCACAGCCCAGCTTGTCCCCTCTCTCTTTCATCCTCTCACTGCGTGCCTCTAAGAGTCTGACTCTGTCTTCTCTACTACACCCTCCCATTAGGTAGTTGCAAACAGCAATAAGATCCCCTTTTGCCTACTCTTCTCCTGGCTGAAGGAACCCATTTCTTTCACCATCTCCTCACATATGCTGTGCTCCAGCCCCCGACCATCCTGGTGGCCTCAGCCAGACTCACTCCGTCACTGTCCCTTTTGTACTGGGAATCCCCAAACATCATCCCCAAACAGCATCCAGATGAGTCTGAAGTGCCACACGCAGGGACAGAACCACTTCCCACAATCAGCTGGCTGCACTCGTGCTAATACTGCCCCGTATGCGGTCGGCCTCCTTCGCTGCAGAGGCACACTGGTGATCTGCTGCTGACTTGTGACCCTGCATCTCTCCTACGCAGAAAGGATGTGCAAGACTTACTTTTCAGATCTTCATGACACAGCTTTTTCTCTGCCCTTCTACATAGCAAAAACCTTGCTTTCAGGCTTTCACTGTCCTAGACTTAAAAACCCATTCTCCAGATCTTGCTCCTCCATCATACTAGACATGAACCACTGTTCACTCTCTTGATATCCTTCCTGGTCTATCACCTCTATAGTTCCTTGCTGGATGCATAAGTTTGCATCTCGGTTAATCCATAGCATCAGCCTTCACCATCCACATGCTCCATCTCCATAAAGGTACCATGGAGGCACGCACTCCTGGTAAAGAGCAGCAAAGCTGCAATATCTTCCAGCTCCTTGAGACTCTCCCTTGTTGTGCTACTTTTTAGGAAAGCCTAGCTTAATGGTTAAGTTGCTGATTTCTATCTGCTACATATAAAGACAGCTAGTGTTGTCTCATTAAATTCTGCCTTCTGTTTTCTTTTACAATTTACTTGGAGGGACAAAGGCTTTATTTGGCCTTTTAAAGTACCTGGAAAAGGTGGTCCTAGTCTGTGACTAGAGTTCCTACATGTTTGCAAATATTTCTAAAAAATACCTGGAATCAAAAGTACATTTTCGCACGCAACATGTTTTAGTGAAATGCTGTCGTTTTCACATAATTTACCGCTCTCCATTTCATTGCTGACTGACACCTCTCAGGGACAGGGTCGTATTTCTTCCCTGTTACAACATTAAAAGAGATGAACATAGAAACTCCTACTTTCTCCAGGTAGACGTGACTGGTTGGCCAAACGTGCAAGTTGTGAATATAAAGAAAATACGAGACATGCCCGTTCCCAGGCCACAAGAGCAAGGCAACCAGACATCAAGAAAGGGCAATTAAGAAAATTGATGTCTCCACTATTGGCTACCCGGTAGAAACTTTTAAAAAACTTTAAGTTGGAGAGAGGAGGAATTTGGCAGATGAATTAAGGGAAGTAGAAACACACTTGGGGCACTGTGGCAGGAAGTATGAATGCAGCTGTTTTTAAGAACAATAAATGGGTGGGCTGGGACGAAAATGTAGGCAGAGTTGGAACAGAAAGGCTATATAAACTTCAGTATCTAGGAGGGCAGAATTACTGGGGACTTCACTGAGATCACTGCTAGCATAGAAAAATCACCTAATGCCTGCTCAGGCCCTGGGTCTGTCCTTCTGCATTTAGGCCCTGGCCCATCAGTGGCAGCTTCCTCAGGAGCTGTCTCCCATTCACGCTTATTTTCCTAACCTCTCTCCACAGCAGTCGGGGAGGCGGCTCGGATGCTTGCTCTAGATGCTACTCTACTGGCTTTTGGGCAAACGCTTTGCTGCTGCTGCTGCTGAAAGCCAGGCCTCAAAAGGCATGATCCCCCCTGAAAACCATGGGTCTGCATCTGCTCGAGTCTACCAGCGTACCGAATTTCACACAACCAGAGAGCCGACAAGGGGACGCACAGCAGTGATGCGATGCCCCCCGCCACACGCGGGCAAGACCGTGAAAACCACGCTCACACTCGTCCCAGTTTCTGCCGAGGGACTCGGGCAAAGAGAGCGCCAAATGTGCAGGTAAGCCAGTGCGAATCATTCGGGACCATCCCGAAGCCATCTGGCACTACGGGGTACAAGAGGCGAGCAGCGACCGCGCGAGTCCTCCTGACTTGCAGTTGGGAGGCCATAGCAGACGGGCAAAGAGAAAGAAATCATGTGGTACGCGGCAGTTCCCTTATTTCACACGAGCACAGCTCACTCGGACTTTTTATATCTCGGCTCAAGGGACAAAGACTTAAATTTTTGTGGCTTTGAAGAGCAGATTTAAAGAGCAGTTTCCTGTGGCTTCATGCACCAAATCCCCTTACTAAATCTTCCATTTTCGGGACCTCTGTTTTGTTTTAGTTTTTTCTCAGTTCTCTCTTCACAGGGAAGTTAATAAATCTCACTGCGTATTAAACGCTGCCAAGTGCAAAGGGGAAGACGATAACAGAACGTTTTCCTAATCTCTTTCACGACGGCGTACTTGCAATTCACTCCCAGGGTATCTGAAACAAATGCGCGTTTAGACTGACGTACAACATTTAGACTTGCGGCCTTTTGAATAGCACTGAAACAAGATGCGACTTCCTAGGCGAGCGGGAACCTAGAAGGCCCCGGATAATTAAAAGTGAACTAATATTAAAGCACGAATTGGGAAGAGGATGGGACGCCGCGGGACTGTCACACAGAAGGGATCCCGGAGGGGTTGAAGAAGCATCACAGAGAGACGCTGGGTTAGCGGAGGGGACAAGAGGGTCCGGCAGGGAGGATGCAGAGGGTGAGGAAGAGGATACAGGGGCGCGTGCCGCAGGGGGACGGGCGGGAGGGAAAGACACGGCGGCGTCACGCGCGGAGCGGGAGGTGGAGAGGGGAGCCGAAGAGGGGACGGGGAGGACAGGGACGTGGCGGAGGAGAGAGGATGCGCTGCGCCCGGGCAGAGGGGACGGGCGCAGGGTGTCACCGGCCGGAGCTGGGCCTGGGGTGTCGCACAGAGGGGACAGGGAGGGCGTCACGCACGGACGGGGGGGTCACATCGCGCTGTGGCAGTAACCGGCGGGGGAGGGGGGGGGGG